ATATATATATATATATTTTTTTTTTTTTTTTTGGGGGAGAGGAAAGATTGGTTATAGCACCAAAATTGCACTACATTCAAATATATATAATATATATAATTCAATATAATATATTTAATTTATAATATAAATTTAATTTCATTTATATATATATAGATTTTTTTTTATATTTTTACTTAAAATCAAATGCATTGAGCAAACGTGTTTTTCTTCCATAAAGCGCACAAAATTTAAACAAATTTTATATTAAAAAAAAAAGTTTTCAATAAGAAAAAAAAACTTAAAATGATACTGATTAAATTTTTAACATTTTGGTATTTTTTTTTTTTTTTTCTCTCTCTCTCTTTTATCTTGTTGCATTTGTAGCACCCAGCATGATGTCAATAAATTCATGGACTTTATTTGGTTTCTTCTTCTTTCACTTTTGGTTGCTGCGTTTTAATTTAAAAACAAAATCTATTCCCTTTTTTTTATTATTTTCTATAAATATTTTTTTGTTTGTTTTTGCTTTTTTTTTCATATTTAAATTCAATTCATTTTTTTTTTCGAGTATTTTCTTTGCCGTTGCTAATACTAGTGTTTAGTGTTGTTAGCCTTACTAAATGTGCAGTGTTGCTCAAGCGACTTGACACAATACAGACAGACACAGTGAGAGCGAGAGAGAGAGAGGGGTATAGCTAGTGAGTGAGACAGCAAGTGTGATGCTCGCTAGGATCAATGCGTTCAACAACAACGATTCCAAAACTAGAAAAGCAAAACAATGTTCACATTTTGATTCGAGTGCCCCTCCTGGTACTTCATTTCAACTGCTTCTCAACTGTGGGCGCGGCTCAGCCCAGGCCAGCGCCGCCGCCGCCCAAGTGCACTGAAGTCGCTGACAGCTCGACGCGTTGACATTGGCGGCGCTCAACAATCACCGCCGCTGGCAGCGACTATTCCAGCCCGGGTCATACGTTCATCGCATAATAAACGGATCCCTGCTGCTGCTGCTGCTGTTGTTGCTGCTGTTGCTGCTGCTGCTGCTGCTGTTGCTGCTGCTGCTGTTGCTGTTGTTGCTGCTGCTGAGCTACTCCGCCTGTCGGCGAGACCATGGCACTGCAATCGCTGTGCGACACAGCTGCTGCTCCCTCGGGCACGCCCCGTTCGCTAAAGCCCGGCATGCCGCCCTCTGCTGCGAATTGATAATGCTGCGACATGAGACGTTGCTGCTGCTGCTGCTGCTGTTGCTGTTGCTGCTGCTGCTGCTGTTGATGCTGCTGGTGCTGATGCTGTTGCGGATGCTGTGCGTAGTGGGCGGCATGACCACGCCCACTCACCACATGCAACTGCATGCCGGGCAGTGCATAGCCAATGGGCACGCGAATCGTTTGCTGTGTTACCTGGGGCAAAGTGAAAGAGAAGAGATCAATTTGAATTCAATTCTTATAAAGTCGGCATACTAGACTACAACATGCCCTGTAAGACCAAAGTGTGCTACAACTTTTTCTGATTCTATATTTATCTATACGCTACAACTAATCCCTTTTACCTTACCTTTCTCTGTCTTTCATTATCTTTACCTACCAATAGCTATGCAGCTCAAACGTTCATTTTCTCTCTCTCTCTCTCTTTGTCATTCACTCTCTGCCCTGTCTTTTGTCTTTCTCTTTGTTTCCCTTCCTTTCTCTCTCTCTCTTTCCCTATGTCTCTCTACGTTTCCCTTCATCTAACTCGTTGCTTTTTAGAACATTCTTGTTCTTCTCTTTTCTTCCCATCTCTCTCCTTTTCAGCCTTCTATTTGCTCTCAGCCGCTGTTTCTCTCCGTCTCTCTCATTTCGTACCTCTCTTTCACCTTCTCTCAGACTCTTTATATTTATCTCTCTGTTGTACTTTCTGGCATTCTCTCCCTCATAGTATCTCGCCTTCTCTCTTTGTATATCTCGTTCGCACTCTGCCTCCTTATCTCTTTGTCTATTGCGCTGCCTCTCATTATCGCTCTCTCATTCTCTCACTGTCTTTCGCTCTATATTTCTGTCATCTCTCAAATATATTTCTCTCCATATATACATATACCTATCAATTTATTTCTGTTATCAACTGTTTATTCTTTTTCTCTCATTCTTTCTCTGACTGTGTATCCCTCCCTCTCTTCCACACATATTCCAATCTTCTCCTCTTAACTGTCTACCCTGTCTACTATCTCTCCACTCCTTCTCTCTTTCTCTTTTAATCCCACTTTTTCTCTCCTTCCTTGGCATTCTTTCATCCCTTTCCTTCTTCTCTCCCACACATACTCTAAGCTTCTCTCTTTTACTCTCTACCATATCTATCACCTCTATTTTTCACTGTCTCTCCTCTCTCTCTCTATTTCTCTGCCTGTGTCTCTCTCTCTCTCCAGCTCTTCCACACATACTCTAAGCTTCTCTCTTTAGCTCTCTGCCCTGTCTACTATCTCTTCTCCCTCCTTCTCTCTCTTTCTCTCTCTCTCACTCTCCCTTTCTCTCTCTCTCTTTATCTCCCTCCTTAGCATTCTTGCATCATCTTGCATCTCTCTCCTTCTCTTCCACACATACTCTAAGCTTCTCTCTTCAACTCTCTACTCCATCTATCATCTCTATTTTGCTCTGTCTCTCCACTCCCTCTCTCTGTCTCTCTCTCTCTTTCGCATTCTCACCTGCTGATACTCGAGTATATTCTGTCGCTGAATGTGCGCCAGCTTCGGATCGACACTGCTGCTGGTGGCAAACTGGGAATAGGTCTCGGCATTGTAGGGTATCAGCACCATCGTCTGATGATAGTTACGCAACGGCGGCGGCGACTCCGGCCGTCTGGTGGGGCTGCGCGCAAAGTGGCTGCTGTAGCTGCTGTGCTTGCTCTGCTCGATGGCCGTTGCCGTCGCCGTCGCCGTGACGCTCTGGCAGTTCTGCGCCGCCGCATACAGCAGCGAGGCATCGTCGGCGGCGCCCTGCTGTATCATGGTCTGCCGGAACATGGCTCCAGCCGGCAGCGTCTGATAGTAGGTCTGCTGTATGGCAGCCGCTGCCGCCGCGTCCACCGGAAATCGTTGCTGCTCTCCGCTCTCGCTGTAGAAGCTCCAGGTGCGCTGCTCCGTCTTCTGCTGCGCTATGGTGTTCGCCTGCAGCGCAGCGGCCATTTGTTGCTGCAGTTGTTGCTGCTGCTGCTGTTGCTGCTGTTGCTGCTGCTGCTGTTGTTGCTGTTGCTGCTGCTGCTGTTGCTGCTGTGGCACATTCTGCGGCGAGGGATTCTGCTTGGGCTGATTGGGCATGGCGTAGCCCTTGATGGCCTGCGGCACCGGCTGGCTACTGATCACCGTTGTGGGTATCTGTTGAGTGAGCTGCTCCTGCATCTGGGCGAGAATCTCGTTGGTGGAGCTGAACTTGGGCTTGATGCCGCGCACCGAGGGCCGCTTGTTGAAGCCATAATCGTTCTGCTCATCGTCGTCGCTGCTCGCCTGCGACTGCGACTGCGATGCGCTCTCCACGCCCGTATAGCGTTTCTTTAGCTGCTCCGTGCGCTTGGCCTCCGCCTGGGCAAAGGCGGCCAGTTCGTCCTGCTGTGTTGTCTCCTGGCCGGGTGTGCCAGCAATTACATCCGGCGCCACCTTGCGTGCCTCATCCCCACCGCCAGCAGCTCCGCCGCCCGCACCAGCAGCTCCTGCGCCAGCTCCGCCGCCGCCTGCTCCACCGCCCATGGCCAAGCCCTGTGCGGCCATCGCAGCAGCTGCCGCCTGCTGTGCTGCTGCATCGCCGACGCCCGCTGCCGCCGCCGCTCCCAGCAGCTGGCTCATGTTGTAGTCAGCTGCGGCCGCAGCGGCCGCATAGTGGGCATGCGCATGCGCCGAGTGGCCATGCTGATGGGCAGCCGCCGCTGCGGCCAGCGTGTAGTAGGAGGACAGATCGTCCTTGTTGCCGGCCACGCAGGCAGTCAGCGGCGCCAGTGTCGATAAGAATTGACGCTTCGGCTCGTTTTGGCGCGGCGGCGTTCGATGGATTTGTGTGTGCACCACTGGCACCTGGATGCCCATGCCCAGGTCTGGTGCAGCCGGGCAGCGGCATTCCTGGGGACGAGGAAGATGAAGATGAAAAATGTTAATGATGAATAGATTACTATTAAAAAGCGCATAACCATTAATTTTCATATTTTCGGACGTATAACACTTGTATAATACTTGTATAACACTTGTATAACAGTTGTATAACACTTGTATAACAGCTTTTAAGCGCTGGTATGACATTTATATTCATGTGTATAACAGGAACAATAAAATATTTGAGCTGTACAGCAGTATAACAGTTGTTTGCTTGCCTTTCTCTGTGATTTTTATAAACTCAAAGGAATCATAAAGCTTTCCAAGCTTCTGTAGGCTTGTTTAGTAAACCAAAAACAAGTAATCTTAAGACTTTCAGCTGTATAACAGTTGTATAACAGTTGTAAAACAGTGGAAATACAACCAAAAACTCATTCATAAACATTTGTCTATAAAGTACATCTCCTTTCTATGCATTAAGCAAGCTTGCCCTTCTCTGCAATCCTCATCTCCCTCCCCCTCCAACTCCTAAAGTATGCTCACCTGTGGTATGATAACAATAGGATTCTCCTCCAGCTCCATTATCTTCTCCTGCTTCTTGTCGCGACTGAAGATGTCGGCGATTTTCTTGTACGCCGACGAGCCGCTGGACGAGCTGGAGACGGAGCTGCTGGGCGAGAAGCTCTTCTCGCCGTTCATGAATTTGGGCGCAAGCGTGTTGGGGTTCTCCTCGCCGGCGGGACTGTCGCGCTGCGCCAGCTCCGAGCAGTCGCGATCGCTGGCCAAATCCTGATCCTGCTCAGCATCGGCAACGCCGCGCGACAACTCCTCGACCAGATCCTCATCAATGTCGCAGGTCAGCTGCTTTATGCGCTCCTCCAGCGAAATGTCCGACTTGACGGCCTTTTTCCTGCAATGGCAACGGCGGAAAAACATGAAAACTCAGATTAGTTGGCCTAAGCGTCGCTTGCACTCACTTGATCAGGGAGCGCCGGAGTATGTTGCGCTCCATGCTGCGCCGCAAGGTGTCCGAGTCGCCGCAGCTGCCGGGCAAATGGGTCACTAGGCAGCCGGCACGTTTCGACTCATCGAAGGCGCGCAATGCCTCCGAGGTGAGCACCGGCGCCTGTTGGGCCGAGACGCTGGGAAACAGTTGGCGCACCGCCGAATTCGGACGCAACGCATTATTGAACAGTGTCGAGTGCTTCTTAATGGGTATCAGCTCGTTGATCTGGTTCTCGCTGTCATCCAGCTCGCCGCACAGCGACTGACCATCGCCATCGGTGCCGGCGTTCGCCTGATCCTCGGTCACGAAACGCACCGAGCGCTTCGTAGCGCCGCTCTCATCCTCTGAGGTGGTGTTATTTTGGTCATCCGATTGCTGGTGATTGAAATGTAGATGGAAATGATTGTTAGATTGTTGATTATGTGTTTGTAAGTCTCTGATTGATTGAAGTTATTGATTGACTGACGACGGCTCTGACTGTCTGATTGACTGATTGTTTAACAGGAGACAGATTAGCTCTGTCTATATAAAATTCTGATTGATTGACTGACTATCTACGGCTCTGATTGAAGCCAGCTCTGATGAGTTTGCTGATTGACTGACTATTTACAGCTCTGATTGACGACAGCTCTGATCGGTTTGCTGATTGACTGACTATTTACAGCTCTGATTGACGTCAGCTCTAATCAGTTTGCTGATTGACACTATCTACAGCTTTGATTGACGTCAGTTTTGATGAGATTGCTGATTGACTGACTATCTACAGCTCTGATCAGTTTGGTGATTGACAGACTATCTGACAGGAGACTCTCTGATTGATTGAATGATTGTTCACAGTTCTCACTGCCTACAGCTCTGAGTGACGCAGCTCTAGCTTGTTTGTTGATTGATTGACTGACTGCCTGCGCCTGGTTGCTTGATTGACCACCTAAAAGACTGATGGATATATCTTTTGATTGATTGACTTGCTGTCTGTTTGCCTAATAGTAAAATCGACTGATTGATTGACTGTCTTAATATATACACGTCCATACGTCTACCTCTAACAGACTCATTTAGTGATTGATTGACTCGGCGAGTATCTAGTTGCTTCATTGCCTTGCCTTGCTGAACGACTGATGCACTTGACTTCATAGCTAGACGATTAGCTTGGATGATTGAGAGACCTACATTAATAGACTTACATTTATTAATAGTTGATTGACCTGACTAATTGACAAGCCCTATTTCATTATTCACATGGATTGATTGATTGATTGTTTCTTCACTACACTCACCTGCGAAATGGAGTCCTGCTTCCAGAGCTTGCCGCCCTTCAATATACCGCTGATCTGTGTGGTCGTTGTTAGCTCCTTGGGCGGTATGGGCGGCGGTTTCTCCTCATCGTATTGCTCGGAGCCAGCTGCGGAGCCAGCAGCAGCAGTGGCTGCTGCCGCTGCCGCCGCCGCCGCCGCTGCTGCAGCTGCTGTGGCGCTTGCCTTGGCCGGCAGCGCCGGTGGCAGCAAGTCCGCCGCTGGCGTGGAGCCAGCTCCTGTGCCAGTTGAGTTGGCTGCAGCCAGATCCTCGGGCGCTTCGCGTATGATGCGTCGCTCGGTCACTGTGGTCATAGTGGTAATAGTTTCAACAACAAATCTTTTTTTCTTGGCTGTGCTACTGCCCGCTGCTGGCACCAGGCTGGTGCCGTACCCGGAACCGGTTACGGAAACGGAACCGGGACTAGAGCTTGCGGCGGGCTTGCTGCTACTGCCCGAATCCTTTCTAATTTTGACTGTTATTTATTTACACACATGCACACATACGCACACACACACGCGCGCACGAAGTTCATCATTCACATACGGCATAGTCAGAGCGAGCGGCATATTTGATTGTAATTGTTATACGAAATAGAGCATTGAACAGATTTGCATTGACAGGTGGCAAAGAGACAAACGTGGTTAGTTGGGAGAGCAGTGGATGGGCGGACGAATGAGCGAGGTCGAACGATTGATTGCGAGCAGCTTTGGCTGCAGCTTCAGTGTGCAGTGTTAGTTACATTGATACTCTCACTGGTGTATAACAGATGTTTGATAGCTGTAGATCAACAACCAATGGGTCACAAATTGTATATCTGAATAAGAGTCATAAAATAGTTTTATAACAGTTGTATAACAGTCATATAACAGTTGTATAACAGTCATATAACAGTTGTATAACAGTCATTTAGGTTTGATTACAAACTGTATAGCATCAATATAACAGTCGTATAACAGTTGTATAACAATTATTTATGACATCTGTATAACTGTCGTATGACAGTCGTATACACCAATTGTATAACACATGAGAAAATGTTATTCAGCTGTATAACAGTTGTATAACATATGCACAAATCGCTTTGTATGGCATGATTAATCAATTTCGTTATCTCTTTCGATCTGCAATCTGCCAATTGTCCAAATTGAATGAATGCTCCAGGAGGGAATTACTTTGACTGATGTTAAGCCATATATTATATTGAGAGATGATAATTTGGAAACTAGGCAACGACTGATGAATGGAATTGCTGCTCTGTGCTATGACCGCTCAATGCTAATTGCAGGAATATTTCATAAAATGAGCTAAACAAATGCTGAGCTAATTCGGGTTTGGGTGCTGGGCGAGTGGCGTGAAGTGGATGCAGCGATGCATGTAGTATAGCGAGTATATGCAGCGATAGGCAAAGCTAATGAGGAATTTGTTTGGGCTGAATTGGGAGGGCTTACCTGCTGCTGCCGCTGCGGGCTTGTATTGGGATTGAAGCACATATTTGGGACGCTCCTCGCCGGCGATGATCTCCTTCTGCGTGATGCGACGCTCTGGTGAGCTGGTGTGCAATGGCAGCAGTGCCACGGCTGGCACGCCAATGGGCGTCAGCTCCTCGTTGCATTGGGCGGCGCTGCATTCTGTGGAGGGAGTGGCAGAGGGGGGAGAATATTAAATGATGTCATGATTGATTGAGTTATTAATGAGGCAGCCCTAGGTACCCAGGGCTAGGCCCAGCTGCAAGAGCTAGGCAAATGTATAAACATTTGTATAACAGTTTATAGCACGATGTCGGAAGTTCACATTTTTTAAGGTAAAGTTTGATTTATTTAATTGCTTAATTGATTTCAAATATTCGACTGGGCCTTTGCAGGGCTAATACTGTTATATGGAGTATGCCAGTTGCGGCGGAAGCGCGCTTGAAGGATTGCTCTCTTAGACGAGGGCGCGGCCAAAGCTCGGGTCCCATGCCCCGGTGCTCGACTTAACTTTGGTGGCTTAGTGGTTCAGTGGCTCCGTCGGCTCGTCGTTGGTTCGCTGGCTCTTTGAATGTTAACCGGGTGGGTCACATTCCGCTTCGTTAGGCGCAACAAATAGTGTTCAAGGAGGGGGCGACACACGAGTTCCCTTTTGCTTGCCAATCAATAAAGCGTGACCAAAATTAATGTAAACATCGAGCCTAGACCGTTCCCTAACAAAGTAAAAAAGTATATATGTATATACATAGACCCCATTGCCTGCCGCACTAAAAGTGTCGCTTCTCATATCCTTCTATGGGCAACCCAGAAAGCAAAGCCATAAACAACTACAAAACTTTCGGTTGTTTATCCATTTAGTTAAGTTTCCATAAATCAATCAACTGCTAACCATTGTTAACTTCGACGTCTGCGGCAATGCGGGCCTACGATGTGCCGCCTTGCAATCGTTCTTAATGCTCGCTAGCCATGAACTCACTGCAGATTGTTGCACAAAGTGTTGCAAGTGTGGGCTATGGTTGAAAGTCTATAAGGTTTGAGTCTGAAATCGAAGGCGATTTGAGCTGGATTGACCTCATTAAGGTACCAATAGAAATTCTATAGCATTAAAGTTAAGTTCCCCTCGAAATGTTATGTATAACAGTTGTTTGCTATTTAACATTTAACTGTATATGGTCTGGCTAGCAGCTGTATAATTGTATCATTGTATCATTGTATCATTGTTGTATAGCAGCTAACAGTAGCCATCGTATAACACTAGTTGAATGCTAGTCACTAAAAAGCTTTATAACAACCGTATAACAGATGTGAAATATTTATATAGAACTATATAAACAGTCGTATTATAGTTATATAATAAATATATAACACTTGTATGATATGTCTTATATATTCTATCATAACCGTAGAACAGATGTATAACACTTGCATATTACTAATTTTATGCGAGTCATATGTTGTTATACAAATGTACGGCACTACTGTAGAGTTAATTGTGAGCTATATACACATATATTAACCGCATAGCATATGTATAACAGTTCGACGACATTTGCATAGCTGTCTTTGAACTCTTGTATACAAGATTAAATAAGTAAAATAAAAGATTAATTAAAGTCGAATTAAATGTGTCTACAGCAGCAGTGATATAATGGCAAATAAGCCAGTCACATAAGCCAGTTATATAACACTTGTATAACAGTCATCTTAAGCCTTAAATCCCCAATGGTTCGCGATTGCCCCCTCCCCTCCTAGAACTTGGGGCAGTCGTATTAAATGAAATTTAATTAGCTATTAAATTTCATGGGCCGTCGCTGCGACATAAAAAATCAAAATGGCGTCGCATTTATGGCTCGCACCCAATTGGCGCGGTCTAGACCCAGCTGATGGCCGGCCGAGGAGCCTGTTTGCATAAATAATTTATGATTAGATTACACAAAGGCAAACGAAAAAGAACGCTGCTGAATGGAGGCAAAGCCCAAAAGGGCACCGCCCCCCCCCCCTCCTCCTTCCCCCGCACTGCCTGGCTATCCATCTAGCCACGCCCAAAGGGAGGCCAGCTAATTGCATCGGAGCCAGCGAAACATAAACCAAAAGCCAAAGGACATTGGCGCAGTTACCTGCATCCTGTAGCTGCTTTGCGGCGCATTCGGCACACTCGGCGCACTCAGTGCAAACGCCCTGCAGGTCCTCATCGGCCTGCTGCTGCTGCTGCTGCTGGGATGTGGCATGATGCTGTTGTTGCTGTTGCTGCTGCTGCTGTTGTTGCTGCTGCTGTTGCTGCTGCTGTTGCTGTTGTTGCTGTTGCTGTTGCTGAGCGCTGCCCACAGGCGGCGGCGGTGGCGGCACTTGATTGTTGCCATTGCCGTTGCGCGCCGCCAACATTGCGGCACGCTGCTGCTGCAGACGCTGTATCACCTGCAACTGTTGCAGATGCTGCGCCCCAAAGATGTGGCCACTGAGCGCACCGCCCAGCGTATTCTTCAAGCTGTTGTCCTTGTAGCCATCCGGTGGACTGAGCGCCGCATCGTCCACAAAGTCGATGGGCGGCTGGAATTTGGGGCTCTGCAAAATAGATCAAAGAGTCGAATTACACTCGGAAAATCAGCTGTATAACACTTTTTCAATGTGTTTATATTTGGAGCTATCATTTAGAAATTCGAGCATTGAGTGGCACTGGGCTATGAGAGAGTATGAGAGTTGTGTTGCATTTGTATAATAGTCGTATAACAGTTTTACAATAATTGTGTAACTAAAGCAGCAGTTGTATTTTTAGCAATATTACAGTTGTATAACAGTTGTATAACAGATATATAACAGTTGTATAACAGTTATATAACAGTTGTATAACGTTGTATGACACCTTTTAACTATCTCTCCTATGAGCACTTAAGTAAGCGTATAACACTCAAGTAATTCGCCTGATCTTTAGCTTTTGACAGTGTTCATCCATTTTTTCCAATTGTACCATCAACTTGATGTTAGCTAACTAAGTAAGTTATAGGCAACTAGGCTTCTAGCTACACGTAATTGTGCACCCGCTCGCAAATTAAGCTAATTGAGTTTTATAGCCAGACGGCATGGGGGTGTAACATGCACGTATATGTGTGTGTGTGTGTTTGTGTGTATGCACGTGTGGGTGGCTGTCTGGCTGATGAACTGTGCGCGCTCATAAATCTGTGTTAAGTCTCCTCGGCGGCTGTGCAGGAAACTAATCATAAGGCAGTGACCGTTGCCTGAGTATAACACTTGTACGGTGCGGCGCTTAATTACTGTCATTATAGTTAGACAATATAATAATTGACATAACAATTCAATGTTGTGGCAGCTCTACGACGCTTGTATAACAGCTAGAAAAGTGCAATACGGTTTTCAGATTCTTCTGGGCAAGTAGAATTTGTTTGCTCTGAAAGCGTATAAAAGTGACTTAACAGTTGTATAACAGTTTTAGAGGTCGCTTGACAGGCTGTTAATTATATAGTCATGAACGTGCTTCAGCTCTAATATAACAGTTGTATAACAGTTGATTAAGTGTTAATTGCATATGGCTTTTCGCTAAGCCAAGTGAATTCTGTTGTAAATATGTGAAATACAGGTGTATAACAGTAATATAACAATTTCATAAATAATTGTTTGCAAGTTTAATTTGTTTAGTGCCCTTGTGAGTCAGTAATGTTTGACTGCACGCGTATAACAGTCGTATGACAGTTGTATAACAGTTTATTCTCTTTGAGTTACAACTTGCAAAGCCGCCTATTAGCTGATTATCTAGCGCTAAAGCACAGCCACAAGCCACAAGACCAAGGACAAGACACATGCATATGCAGACACACACACACACACACACACACACACACACACACACATGCATTTGTAAGTGCAAATAGAAGTACATTTAACACAATGCATTTGCAATTGCAAACAAAGTCTAGGCCAAAAGTTCGCTGTGGCTGTCTCTGCCTCTGCTTCTGCCTCTTCATCTGCCTCTTCATCTGCCTCTTCTTCTACCTCTGCCTCTGGGCCAGGTCGAGCGGGGCAAGGCAATCGAGTTGCCAAGAAGTTTCTTCTCTTTCTATTTAGTAGACTTCTTCAAGCAGTGCCTCATAAAGCGAAAAGCCGCGCACATAACGTTGAGGAAATGCTACAACATGTGTGTGTGTGATTGCATGTGTGTGTCTGTGTGTGGGAAAAGCCAGATGGAAAATGGAAAACGGCAAAGTCGTAAGAGCGCAGCTTGGCCATAAAGATTGTCAAATTTTCTTGTGGGTTTTTGTTTTGCAATTTACCTGAGAGAATTCGCAATTTGCTAGGAGGTATCTTGGCTAAATATATTGGCAATATGCACATATACATATACATATACATATACATATACATATACATATCAAGCCTCTCTCTTTCCATGCATTATTTCCCTGATCTTATGTCAAGCTGTTGAATTTCGGCTGCCAAAATTTCAACTGAATTTGTTTAAGTTCAGCTTTAAGCATTGCAAAGATAGATGTCAACTGTTATACGCCCTTAGGTGTATGCTATAAACTTTTTAATAGTCTCTAGATATATCCCATAATAGCATAATCTAGCACTCGTTGGATCTCCAAAAATTATATAAATATTTTGACTGTTATATATCACTTAGATTAATAAGTAAGCTGTATAACAAGCTTTGCTCCATGTTTGTATACTAAAAAAGACTTCTATGTTAATAGATCTCTCATAACTGTCATACAGTTAATGCTTATAAGTGGATTTGCTTAGCTGTATAACAGTTTTCCCTTGTTATTGAAGCTCCAGCTTCTACTACACTACTATATACTGTATATTAACTGTTATATAACCAGATAAGCTGTATAACAGTTTCTTTTGACTGTTTTCCTGTGTTATAATTGCCTACTTCATAAGCTTTACCTCTTTATGTATATTCTTGCATTGAATAAATCAAAACAAACTGTTATATAACATGTAAAAGTGCACGTTTGTCACTGATGTTTATATCTAAATAGTTTCTGTTAAAACTAAACTGTTATATAGTATGTAAAAGTATTTACAAACTTGTATAACAGTGTCGATTGCACGTTAGTCTCTGATGCTTATGCCTAAATAGTTTCTTTTTGCGATGGCCTAATGTCATATATCAACTGTTATATAACTATAAGAGCCTCTGATAAATTGTATAACAGTATCGACTCTATGCCTTCCACTAGTGCTTCTGGCAACCATAGATCCTAGTCTGCTGTCACTCACAAGCCACTTGAATACATTCCCATACATATGTGTCAAACTGTTATATACCTGTGAGAGTATTTGACATGTGGTATAACAGTTTTGCGCCCAACACGTTTTGTTGGCCTTTCCCATTGTCTGCAGCTCGAGTTCCGTTTGGGTTATGCAACGCGTTTGCTAAACTTGTTACATACACTAAATGCATATTAAACTCTTCAGAGCCAACACACACAACACACACCGAGGGCATAGAAGGAGACAGAGACAGAGTGAGAGAGAGAGAGAGGGTGGCTGGTAGAGGCGAGGAATCTTAGGCATTTGCCACATGCTTGAGCAGCGCCAAGTCAAGTGCATTGGGCGGCCACCCACTCTGGCCAAAGCACTCAGACAGAGAGACAGAGAGACAGAGAGACAGACAGACAGTGGGACAGTGCGGGTGTGTGTGCCAGCAGGACATTTGCCATGGCAGATAAGCAAAAAAGAGGCGCACTCAAGTGACGCTCATGTGGCAGAAAATTGAAATTTAAACGCAGCTCGAGGGCCGCTTAGAATCGATGCAAAGGCAAAAACAACAGAAAAAAAGAAATAGAGAGAGAGAGAGGAGAGAAAGAACTTAAAGAGTGCATGGCGTATACGTAATGAGGGGTGAGAGCGAGAGAGGGAGAGAGAGAGAGAGTAGACAGCAGGCGAGTTGCTGTCGCAGCAAACCTTGCGAATGTCCTTAGCAACATGAAACGCGTACATCACGATAAAAGGCACAATTTCATAAAACAATATATCAGTGATATATATACATACATATAGTATATATATAAATACACTCGCGCACACACACACACACATGCAACAATGTTGCTAACGTGCTGCAAGTCACTTGAGCTGCATTTTGTGTAAAAGTTTTTAAGTGATTTATACACCACTTGCACAAGGATAACGAAGTCGTGGTGGTGTGAGTTAGAGACTCGAGCTAACTACAAACTTGCTAGCAGCATCTACAACAACAACAACAACAACTACGACAACTTTGCAACTTTGCTACTTGACTTGCCTTGACTCGAGCCACTCGAGCTGCAAGCTGAGCCAAGCCAAACTGAGCTGAGCTGAGTGAAAACTGCAGCCAGGAAACAGGATATGAAATAATAAATGCATATACACACACACACACACACACATATACATATATATCTATGTATAGATTATTAAACTCAGCTCAATGGAGTGCAAAGCAAAATATGGCACGAAAAACTTTGTTCAATTATAGTCGAACAATTGTTTTCTGTTGTTGCTCATAATTGACAGAGCGCACAGTGGGGCAAAATGGCCAGCAAAGTGGGTGAAGGTGAAAGTGTTGCATGGATCGAGGCTAAGGTGGAGTATATACATAAATATAATGATATATATTTTAAGCAAGCGGAAAAGGTTGCGTGAGAGATAGAACATGGAAAACAATGTGGGACATAGAACATGGAAAAGAGGGCGAAAGGATGAAAGGACTACAGACTGAAGTCTAAGAACTAAAGTCTAAGATGAAAGACATAAGAGTGACCATTGAAGAGAGAAGACTTTGGCTGGCAGAGTAAAGATTGAAATCTACAGATAGAAGACTAAAGACTGAAGATGAAAGAGTACAGACTGAAGAATGAAGACGACAGGAAGGAAGATGACTGGAAGTAAGGCAAACTGAAGACTACAGACTAAACTCTGAAGACTAAAGTCTAAGGGAGTGACGACCAAAGACTAGAGATTGAAAAGGGGAAATTGAAAAGACTGAAGACTAAAATCGAAAGACTAAAATCAGAGTCAAAACTGAATCAAGATGGAGTTGAGCAACACCTTCTAAGGTTTATTTATAGAGATTAGGGTAAATATAAAATGAAAGTTAACTTAAATGATTTCCCATTTTCAACGGATTCAGGGTATAAAAAACTTAGGCACTGCCAACTAAAACCTTCGACTTAAGTAAAGTTTATAACAAAACGAAAATGGAGGACTTAAGGTCCTAAAGGCGTTTAAAGAGTAAAAATAGATAGGTAGATTAAGGCCTTAAAACAATGGAACAAGTGAAACAGAAGCGATAAAACAAAAAATAGTTAGAAGGACGTAACATAAAATTAATAAAAAGAACAACAGACAAAGGAACGGGAAATATTATGGACGATAGAGAGAGATAGAGAGAGAGAGAGAGATAGAGAGAGATAGAGAGAAAGAGAGAGAGAGAGAGAGAGAGAGAATGATAATAGTAGAGGCAGCACTACCATTATAATTAAAAGACCAAGACAAGCTGTGAAATATTTAACAAGAGGATGGGAGAGGTGAGCAAAGAGGCTAAATATTATACAGTAGAGCCTAGGGAGCTCTATTATCATAAACCTTAATCTAGTTACAATACAAAAAACATTACTGAAATGTATGTAGATCACATAAAGCCAAAGACAAACTGTCAAATATTTAACAAGAGGATAAGAGAGCTGACCAAAGAGACTAGATAATTGATTGTAGAGTAGAGTAGGGGAGGATTGTAGAGGATTGTACAGTAGAGTAGAGGAGGATTGTAGAGTAGAGTAGAGGAGGATTATAAAGGATTGTAGAGGATTGTAGAGTAGAGTAGAGTGGGATTGTAGAGGATTGTAGAGTAGAGTACAGTATGTAGAGGAGTTCCACCCTTAACGACTCAAGAGAAAATGCTTAAATTCTGTATAGATCTTGTTTAGCTCTAAACAATCTGTTGGATATTTAACATGAGCATTACAGCGTACAGCGATGATGTTAAATATTTAACAGCAGACGAGTTAAATGTTAAGTGCAGAGCACATAAATACTCTGTAAAATATTTGGCAAGAGTTTAAGCTCAAATCCCGCATTTGACAAGCGAAATAGAAGCAAAGCTTCCGAAATAATTGCCAGCAACGGGCTAGGCATAGATTGTTGTTGTTCTCTGACAGCCTGGCATGAAGTTGGCTGTGAGCGCGAATCAACGAAAATTAAGGAAACTCGAAGAAAATCTATGAAAATGCCGAGCAAATGGAAAATGTGTTTTAATGCTCAACTATTAAGCTGGTTGTCAACGCAACTCTCCGTCTCTCTCTCTCACTCTCACTCTGTGTGTGTGTGTGTGTGTGTGTGTATGCTTGGTTGTCTGAGTGTTGCCTACTTTTGTGCTGCGTCACACACACCAATACACAAATACACCAACACACAGACATGCCTAAGCTGCCTTAAGCACTTCAACTTTGCTCACTTGTGCAACTCGTCGCTTAATCCGCTTAACGTGTGTGCGTGTGTGTGCGTGTGTGTGTGTGAGTGTGTACGTGTGTGTGTGTGTGTGTGTGTGTGTGTGTCTCAGACTTTATCTGTGTATGTGTGTGGCAGCTACTTCTAACTAGCAGTAACTCGCTCACACTCTCCCACTTCCCCACACACACTCTCTCCTATCACGCCCCCCTCCCCCCACCCCCTCACTCTTTCAACTTTCTACACTCACCTGTGGCGTTCGTCCATCGGCCGCATCAGCAGCACTCACCGCATAATTGCACTGGCAGCCCTCCTCACAGCATAGCCGCACCAGCTCATGCTCGCCGCAGGTGCACGGCTCCTCGTCCTCCTCATCGTAGGCACAATCCTCCCGTATCAATATGATATAGTCCGCCTCGAAGAATTCGTTGCGTGTCTCATCGAAGACGACGCGATTTTTACGCACCGGCGGCGGACGATTTGGTTTCTTGAGCAGACCGCGCAGCTGCCCATTCATTTCGCGCATCTTGAGCACGTTCCCTGCGGCAATTGTTGCTGTCGTATCAATTGTTGTTGCTGTTGCTGCTGCTGCTGCTGCTGCTGCTATTGCTGCTGCTGTTGTTGATGTATTGTTAACGATTGCACTCGCTGCTGCTGTTGTATAAGTTGCTGCTAGAACTGTTAGGCACTCATTGCATTGGCACACGCTTTCGCTCTCGCTCTCGCTCCCGCTCTCACTCTCACTCTCGCTAATGCCAACTCGCTCTTGCTGCTGCTGCTGTTGCTGCTGTTGCTGCTGCTGTTGCTGCTGCTCGCTAACAAATTCAGCGAGCAACTCGTCGTAACACTGATAGCCGCGTCGCTGCTTGCTGCACTCGGACAGCGGCTCACTCGGCGCTCCGGAGCTCGCTCTGATGTCGAGCAATTGCAATTGTCTCGCTGCCTTCAAATAGTCGCCAAAGCGTTGCACATCGAATTCGCTAAGTGACGCCACAAAATTGCCACTCGATGTGCTGCAATTGTTGTTGCTGTTGTTGTTGTAGCTGTAACTATTGTTGTTGTTGTTGTTGCTGTTGCTATTGTCATTAACTGTGGGCACAAAGGCGCTGCGTATTGTTGTTGTTATTGCTGCTGCTGCTGTTGTTGTTGCTGCTGTTGTTGTTGCTGTTGTTGCTGCTGCTGTTGTTGTTGTTGCTGGCGTCTCAATTTCAATCAGCACCTGGCTGCTACTCTCGCTGCTGCTGCTGCTGCTGCTATCAGCCAAACTCTCACAGCGCACGCGCTCTGCAATTTCTTGCTGCGTATTCAGCAATTGCTGCTGCTCCTCCTGCTCCTGCTGCTCCTGCTCCTGCTGCTGTTGTCTGCTATTTGCTTTGGCAATTTGTTCATTAGCAATGTCTTGTATACAATTTCGATTTAATTGTATTGCACTTGAGTCTGAGGCCACGGCCAATAGCGCGCTTTCAACTATTTTATTGTCCTGCAAAGCGCTGCTGTTGCCTTTGGGTGTTGCTACTCCTCCTCCACCTCCTGCTGCTGCTGCTAGTGCTGGCTGTGGGGGTAGTTTCTTTGTTGTGCTTATTGTCGCTGTGCTGGCATTTAGTTGTATTAGTTGCTGTTGCTGTTGCTGTTGCTGTTGCTGTCTCAAGGATGCCTTTACACAATCATCAACTACAACAGCCTCACTACAGCTGTTGTTGCTGGCTGTGCTGCTGCTGCTGGTGCTGCTGCTGGTGGTGCTGCTGTTAACGCGTCCCTGAAAATTATGCTGTAAGCGCTTGAGCCTTTGGCTGGCCACAAAATCCTCCGTCAAATCGTCACCGAAATCAATTAGATCCTTATCGTTGCAGCTGCTTGTTGCGCTGCTCGTTGCTATTGTCGCCTCCTGCTTATCCCCTAGATCATTGCTATCGTCGAGCTGTTTAGTGTGCTTCGATAGTTCTGTTTGATTAGAGCATTGCTCGTTACGTTTGCCGTCAGTCGCGTGCACAGGGCCAGCAGCAACATTCGACGCTGGCAATTGCTGCTGCCATCGGTTGTCTAGCTTCAAATATGGCAATGACAATGGCACCTCCTCCTGGTGGTGGTGATGGTGCTGCTGCTGCTGCTGCTGCTGCTCCTCCTCCACCGACAACAACAACAATGATTGCTCGTCACTATCACTAGACTCTTTTGTTGTTGTTGTTGTTGCTGCTGCTGTTGTCGCTATGTCGCTTTGCACATTTTCACTCGAATTGTTAAAAAAATTGACACTTAAATCATTTTCACAAATTTTTTGCACAAATTTTTCTGTACGTCGCGCCTCGCTGTCAGCGTCGTCGCCAGCTGCGCTGCTCGCGTCGTTCTTATTGGTAGTAAAAAAAAATTCTTTCTGCTGCTGCTGCTGCGGCTGCTGTAGCAACTGCTGCTGCTCGCTTTGGCCAATATCTTTGTTAATTTTACAATCTTCAATTTGCACAAGATTTTCAACAATTTTCAACGATTTTTGATTTTGGCCAAAATTTGTTATTGGCTGCTGCTGCTGCTGCTGCTGCTGCTCAGCTGCGCTTGCTGCGACGACTGCTGCTGCGGTTGGTGGTGGTGCTGCTGCTGCCGCTGCTGCTGCTGCTGCTGCTGCTGCTGCTACTGTGAGTTTGGCTTTGAAAAGCTCACTGCCAATTGTAGGTATTGAGCAGGCGCTGTTGTCGCTGTTGTCGCTCCCCAAGCCTTTGGCATTGCTGCTGCTGCTGCTGCTGGTGCTGGCTTGTGTTGTTGCTGCTGTCACATTGGGTGGTTGCTGGCCATGGCCAGCATGCTCTGCGTTTGCGCTCACGCTCACGCTCTCACGCTCGACTTGCGCGCGCTCACAATTGCTGACAACTTCCGCTCCTGTGTTGTTGTTGTTGTTGCTGCTGCTGCTGTTGTTGCTGTGGTTATTGTCGCTGTATTCAGCACGCGCATGCGCCCGTGTTTGCATGTCACTGCTATCCGCTGACTGGCACGCCTCCTGCCAGCCCCGCACGACGCCCTGCTGCTGCTGCTGCTGCTGCTGTTGGTGCTGTTGGTGCTGGGGCTGCCACGCACAATGCGCCTTGTATTGCACGCCAGCAACATTAACTCGTGAGCTGCGTGCCTCGCATGCCAAATCGACGTCATCAGTGCCATCAGCAGCAGCAGCAGCAGCAGCCACATTTAAACCTTGTACACCGTTAGACATGTTGCCCGCTGCAATCAGAGCGGCTGCTGCTGCTGCCGCCGCGGCGGCTGCCTCAATTGCAACAGCAATATGCTCATTATTGCTGCTATTGCTGTTGTTATTGTTGCTGTTGTTGTTGTTATTGTTGTTGCTCTTATAATTTGCATCCTCATTATGTTTGCTAAGCGTTTTATTAGCCATCGCTGTTGCCGTCATTTTGCTGCGTTTCGCTGCTTCATCACACTGCTCACGCTCCCGCTCCCGCTGCCGCTCCCTGTCCCGTTCCAGCACGCTCTGTCCGTTCGTTAAGGCCAGCGTTAGCATGTCCACAATCAGCATAGTTGCTGCCGTGCCAGCGCCAATATATGCGCATCTACAGCGTCAATCGTCATTCAAGCTGCGAATTGCAATTCACAATTAGTTCAAGCAATAAATGAAGAAATTAGCACATCATCATCATCATACGAGGTACAAGAGAATCAATAATAAACACAATTATCGGACAATAAAATACTTTCCACAGTACCGTTAATAGCACCCCAACGTTTTCTAGATCGTGCATTACCCATTCCAATTCTAATTAGTCTAGCACGCTTCGACCTAACCTCATTCATGCGTGCATTTCACTCGAATCCTATTGAAGGAAAATCATTTATACGTATTTTATGTCTAAAAAAAATTTAATTAGGTTTAGAAATGTAATCTACATTGAAAAATGTATTTGGAATACTTGAAAGTTTGTATCCTATATAAGAACAGTTAACTTCCATGACAATTTTTTAAATATTTCACATTTATTTATTATTTTTATAGAAAGTCTTTTATAAAAATATTTTAAAAAGAATGAAAAGAAAATTTAAGCCATATTTTCTACACTTTAAAAATCTTTGAATTATTTTTGAAAATATTTTTCCAAAATTTATTCTTAAGTTGTAAGTAATGTTTTTTAAAATATTACAAACAATTTAAATGTAAAAAAAAATTAGTTTAAATATTTTTGTTTTTAATAGTTGAAAATAAAGTAATGAAAAATGTCTAAAAGCATTAAAAGAAAATGCATGTTACATCATATTTCCTACCATTATAAATGTAAGCAATCAAAATATATGTATGCATGTATCTACATATACACATCCATGTAGATACATACATACATATATGTACATATATTTGATGACAAGTTCCGGTTGTTAAGTTAAAAATTTGCATATTCAAATTGTGTTGGACTGCTTCATTGATACGCTGACAAAATGTGGGAGTTTTTCTTATCGGAAACTCTCACACAGTAAAATGAGGTGAAAACATTTACCCAACAGGTAACGCGACCTATGGTCGAGCAACCAGTTGAATTTTCCACTTAACTAAGCATATTTTATTATATTTCTAATTTTTGCATAAATTATAATATTTACCGGCTAACAAATTTCGACACAAAGTATTCTCTGCTGCTGTTGTTGTTGGGCTGACACAGAAAAACAGGTGCGCGAATGCAACCAAGCGCATCCTGCGCTCAGGATGTTGCCCCACAGCAGTGCGCGAGTGCGACTGAGACGGGGGTAGTTGTTAATAGCCGCTCCGTTACGCGCGAATGCAGAGCGAAAGACACCACCGACAAAAAAAAAAAAAAAAAAAAAAAAAAAAAAAAAAAAAAAAAAAACAAAAAAAAAA